AGGAGAACTGACTAACGCTTTCTCTCTCCCCTCCCTTTGTCCAGAAATCCAGGGTCACGTGGTGTCACCCTGCACGGCCAATCGGGCGCCTACCTTTCGATTTTAAACCGATGCCCTGCCCCCTACCTGGCGTGGCGCCACCGGCGCGCCTTCACCCGTCGTCTGTGCGCTCGTCCTCCTCCTCATACTCCGGGTCATGTTTTTCTTTAGTCAACCCAGGAACTTGCCCTCCCACCTCCTCTCGCGCATTGCTCGCTGGGAGCTTTGCTCCCCCAAGGCCCTATAACCTGTGCTGGGTGTGTTTTCACTGCGGTTTGCTCCGTGAGCTCGTCGTGCCCATACAACTTTAAGCTAATTCACGGGGTCGTAGTGCAATTCAGCCTGGCACTGGGAAACCATGGGACGTCCCCAAGAGGGACCCCTCGGGTAAAAACCCAGAGTTCCAGGTGACCCCCCCACGAGACCCTACATGAGTGCATGTGTGTGTTTAGAGGAGGTGTGCATGAGTTCGTGTGGGGGGGTACGAGGAGATAGCAGCACTGGCAGAGTTGCTCCATTGCTGTGGTACCACAAGTGCACATAATTCGGCGTTCGCGTCAGACCGTCGATCGTCAAACACACGAGCACAGTAGTACATAGTCTTAGAGATTGAAGTGGTAAGTACAGTAATTAATGTAAATTTTTACTGGATATTGTTTGTCTTTGATTATTTATGCCAATGTCATATAGCAAACATTTAAACAATAAAAACATAACACCTAAATACATGTTATTCAAGATTATGCAAATATTATATTTTTAAATAATGATCAGTGATTATCTGGAGTTTTTTTTTTAATCCGGCACCCCCTTTCTCCTGAAGTTGCCGGATAATTGATGTTCTACTGTATATGCAGGGAAATGTTATGTATATCGAGACGCCGTATATTCTGGACCTCAAATACCATAGGGCTATTACAAGTACGTGACAAGATTGGAGTGGACTACGCGAGTAGGATAAAGTAGGGAAAAACACAGTTTAAAGAGACAAACAAATCATTGTCTCTTATTATGAAGGGAGCCACAACGTGATGAGGTGAAGGAGAATCCCAATCCCCGACATAATTGTTTGCACTCTTTATGTGTCTGGTGGGGGTATGACTGGTTTTGCGTGTTTGTGAGAGTGGGAGTTGGAGCGTGCCTTTGCATGTGAGGAAATGTTATTTGAGCATGGGCATGGTTCATTCAACAAGCATCCAGGTCAGATCCCCTTCATATTAATTCAATGAGGGTGGTATAAAAGGCAAGTAAAGAGCACTATGAAGGAGAATAAAAAAAACAGGTGGCACCAGCAGGAAGGCCTGATCCACTGCTGGAGTGTAGAGCGAGCACATCAGAGCACACCAGGAAGGCCTGATCCACTGTCGGAGTATGAGGCAACCACGCCTGAGTGCATCGGGGAGGGCCTGATTCACTGCTCAAGTGTGGCGGTATGACAGTGTCACTCGACGTGAGGTCTACACGAGCAGTGTGGGCAAATTAGGGGGGCGGCTAAACCGACGCCTTGCTGGCATGGCGAGAGCTGGCCGGGAGTAGCCTCTGCGTTGGGCAGTCCCTCGTGCGTGATCATCGCTAGATTCTGCCATCATCGCGAAAGTTTCTGCCATGCCGCCTGGCCGGGCCGCGGGCCCAACGCGAACGCACCTGGTGAGTGTCTCGCTCTCTCCCTCGGTGTCCTCTCTAACCTGGGAGGAAAGCCCTTCCCCCGAGAGGAGAGGGGCTGCTAGCTTAGTGGCTAGGGGTCGACTGGCAGTAGCTCGCCCCCATGCACTGGGTATAGCCCAACCCCGTCCGGCATTCCTCGACCTGGCTCTCGGTACCAGATTTTTAGGCCGACTTCAGGTCCAAGTCTTGGAGCTAAGCGTTGGGGTGGGGAGGGGGCTGGGGGTGGAGGAGTAGCCCTGAGCCACACTCGCCAAGAACATAGCCCCCCTGAGGGGTACTCCGAGTTCACTAGTGTATGCCAAAGACTCATGATTCCACACCTCAGCTAGGAAACTACTCTGCCTTAACTCACACTGGAGTTAATAGTTCACCCCGATTCGTTGAGTAGAAAGCACCCGTGTGACCATAACTTTAGGTGGGTGTCTCTATGTGTGTTTGTACCTATATGTACCCTTATCCACGAGTGCGGACGGGTATTTTGTATCTCTCCACAGGGGTGTTGTGAACACAACCTAGGTTGGCCCTTCGCGCCCACGACGAATCTACACTTTTCCCACCTTTTTATGAGCTCTGGAGCACGGGGTGTAGTTATATCGGGCTGTGTCTGGTCTGGCCTGATAGAAGGGAAATCGCTGTGTGCACAATACAAATTACTTGGCGGTGGTCCCTCTGCGCAGGGCACGGGTGAGTGGAGTGAGACTGGAGGACCACGGCATGGGTGAGTGGTGGAGTGAGAGTGGTAGACCACGGCACGGGTGAGTGGTGGAGTGAGACTGGTAGACCACGGCATGGGTGAGTGTGGAGTGAGGCTGGTAGACCATGGCACGGGTGAGTGGTGGAGTGAGACTGGTATGCTGCACACTCGAAATGAAGGACGTGGGCAGGATCTCCAAATCGAGGGCAAACACATTTATTGTCAATCTGTAAAATGCAACAGCACGTGTCACACAAAGCAATCCTCAACCGAGTCGCCATTAACCACGTGACTGGTGTACGTCCGGTTAATCAATAACAGATTATCTTACACCCAATTATACTACTGATAAACCATATTTGTCTTTGACAATTACCTTAGCACTGCACTTTTCGAATATTACTTTAATCCTAAGCTGTATGTCTATCTATAACATCCACTTATATCGGTATCTTACACACATTATCGGTACTGTATGTGTACAGAACACGTACTATACTTGTTACCATTATACAACTTACTACTGTACATGTGTTATAATCTCAATAGCATTGCAAGTAGTGATACTCTCGGTGCATGGGCATGGTTATAGAATAAACAGTATTAGGGTTAGATTATTTCAAGTATTAACTACAGTACGTCATCATCCTATTGAATATATCACAAACTAACAATTAAAAGTCAAGCTGGAAGTCTAGAACAAGTCTAGAACGATCAAAAACAACCTTTGGGTCCTTTACCTGTAGAATGCAACAGCACGTGTGTCACACAGTAATCCTCAACCGAGTCGCCATTAACCACGTGACTGGTGTACAAGTCCGGTTAATCAATAACCCGGCCAGCCACCCACAGGCCCAATTGAGTTATCGCATGCTGGTGTACACACGTGCATTGATATACTGCACAGCACATAAGGACTTTCATAAAACCACATTTACTCGCTTGCTGCACCAGGAAATAATTAAAAGAGTGGTCCATTCCTAATGTGCCACAGGTAGAGCACGGCACGGGTGAGTGGTGAAGTGAGACTGGTTGACTACGGCACGGGTGAGTGTGGAGTAAGCCTGGTAGACCACGGCACGGGTGAGTGTGGAGTGAGACTGGTAGACCACGGCATGGGTGAGTGGTGGAGTGAGACTGGTAGACCACGGCAGGGTTGATTGTGGAGTGAGACTGGTAGATCACGGCACGGGTGAGTGTGGAGTGAGACTGGTAGACCACGGCAGGGTTGAGTGTGGAGTGAGACTGGTAGACCACGGCACAGGTGAGTGTGGAGTGAGACTGGTAGACCACGGCATGGGTGAGTGGTGGAGTGAGACTGGTAGATCACGGCACAGGTGAGTGTGGAGTCAAAATGGTAGATCACGGCACAGGTGAGTGTGGAGTGAGACTGGTCGACCACGGCACGGTTGAGTGTGGAGTAAGCCTGGTAGACCACGGCACGGGTGAGTGGTGGAGTGAGACTGGTAGATCACGACACAGGTGAGTGTGGAGTGAAAATGGTAGATCACGGCACAGGTGAGTGTGGAGTGAGACTGGTAGATCAGGGCATGGGTGAGTGGTGGAGTGAGACTGGTAGACCAGGGCACGGGGGAGTGGTGGAGTGACACTGGTAGACCAGGGCACAGGTGAGTGTGGAGTGAGGCTGGTAGACCAGGATACGGGTGAGTGGTGGAGTGAGACTGGTAGACCAGGATACGGGTGAGTGGTGGAGTGAGACTGGTAGACCAGGATAAGGGTGAGTGGTGGAGTGACACTGGTAGACCAGGGCACAGGTGAGTGTGGAGTGAGGCTGGTAGACCAGGGCACGGGTGAGTGGTGGAGTGACACTGGTAGACCAGGGCACAGGTGAGTGTGGAGTGAGACTGGTAGATCAGGGCATGGGTGAGTGGTGGAGTGAGACTGGTAGACCAGGGCACGGGTGAGTGGTGGAGTGACACTGGTAGACCAGGGCACAGGTGAGTGTGGAGTGAGGCTGGTAGACCAGGGCACGGGTGAGTGGTGGAGTGAGACTGGTAGACCAGGATACGGGTGAGTGGTGGAGTGACACTGGTAGACCACGACATGGGTGAGTGGTGGAGACCTCCTTCCCTCAGCCAGGGCATTGAAAATTGGTCGTGGATGGGTATTCCAGCATGACAAGACCCAAAACACACGGCCAAGGCAACAAAGGAGTGGCTCAAGAAGAAGCACATTAAGGCCCTGGAGTGGCCTAGCCAGTCTCCAGACCTTAATCCCATAGAACATCTGTTTAGGGAGCTGAAGGTTCGAGTTGCCAAACGTCAGCCTCAAAACCTTAATGACTTGGAGAAGATCTGCAAAGAGGAGTGGGACAAAATCCCTCCTGAGATATGTGCAAACCTGGTGGCCAACTACAGGAAACGTCTGACCTCTGTGATTGCCAACAAGGGTTTTGCCACCAAGTACTAAGTCATGCTTTGCAGAGGGGTCAAATACTTATTTCCCTCATTAAAATGCAAATAAATTTGTAACATTTTTGACATGCGTTTTTCTGAAATTTTCTGTTGTTATTCTGTCTTTCACTGTTTAAATAAACGTCCATTAAAATTATAGACTGATCATTTCTTCGTCAGTGGGCAAACGTACAAAATCAGCAGGGGATCAAATACTTTTTTTCCCTCACTGCAACTGCAGGAGGATAGCACTGAAGGCCAAGGTGTAAAATACACGGCCCGCCACTGCTCAAGTGGCTGAAAAGAAGTGCAGCAATCGAGTGTAGCTAAAGCCTTATAGTCTTTTTATCAGTCAAAAGTGAGCAGTAGCGCTCTACCAAGTTCAAGAGTTTTTTTTTCCAGGTAGGTCTCCAAGGTGCTCCTGGCCGCTCTGGGACTCAGTCACTGCTCTCCCCCTCCTGGCTTCCCTCACCGTCTCAAAGAAAAAGCATATGTTATTATTAGAGCATGTTTGTATGTTTTGCCACAAGTATGTGTGGTTAATGCACGACTTGATGCCTTGCAACATGTGTCTATTTGGTGTTTGAACATTTTGACACCCGTCTTACTGCCAGAAATTGTAAAGCCAATTATAGTCTTCATCATAGTCCACAACTCACCACGTTTATATTGTACCGTGTATACACGTGCACGTGTTTGATGTATCGGTGTGTTTTGTATGAGCAAGTGCTTTTTACACTAAATGGACTATATAAAAAACACAATTTTCTTACAATAGTTTTGCGGTAGGTTATACACTTTATTTGAAATTAGTTCAAGGATAACGAGCACTGATTATTCCATGGAGGTAATCGTAAAATAATAACAGATGACTGCTTTAAAAAATTCTGCGATCTGCAAACTCAAAGGCACATGGGAAAACTGTAGTTTGGTTTACAGTTTTTTTTTCCTAATACTTTGCACTCTTATCGTGGTTTTGTATTGCTTGTTTTAACATTCTTACCCGCCCACTATTGGACGTCTGTGAAAAAGAGCCTTATACCTTATCGGTTTGCTCCTGTAGTATAGATTTTCCGATTATGTAATACGACACTCCCTCCTTTCATCTCATGTCACCCTACATAAACCCAATCATTAAACAGGAAGTATTGCGAATGTAAATGTGATTAACATTGTCGAGTGTTTAAATATACTTTGCGCGATAGATTGTTTTAATTAAAAAAATGTGTAGAGGAAAGGGTTTCCTGGATTTCTAAGATGGTATCAAACTGCGTATCATGCACTGTTTATAGCGGCCTCCTAGAGTGAATTTTCTGATTAACAACAATTTGATACCAGCTAAAACTCACAGAAAATGAGCTCTAGAATTCGTCCTTGCATGTCTCATGAGGAAGTGTTTTTTTTGTGAAAAAAAGGAAATTGATGCGGGTGTCAATAAAGTTTATGAAGACATGAAAGCAGATACTCCTGATTATAGACAAATACCTGTCATAAAGAAGTATAAAATGTAGACATTAAGTCACAATTTTAATGGTAAAAATTCACGTGTATAAGATCAAGGTGTTTAATTTACTTCCCTTTACTTGAACATTTTATAGAACTAAACCTACAGTTTAACTTTAATCCAGCTGTATTATATTGTGGATACATATTGATTACATGGTAAATACAAATAAAGTACATGGTGATCCTTAAACTAAACTATTTTATTTTTTTATTTTACCAGACAAGGCCCACTGAGCTATATAACATTTTTTTAGAAGCGATCTGGTTATCACAATTGATAGCTCAACGTAATGGCTTATCATTTGGACATTTATAGCAGCCAAATACTCTAAATGTGTGATGTCGATTCTAAATGTGGAAGGCAAAATCGGAGGACTCGGAGAAAAATCTACATGACCTCGGAGACAACACGCAAGCTCTAAATATACAGCAGGCGTCAGGGTCGGGATCGAACCCATGACCTCCTGTATACCAGGCAAGGTAGTTAACATCTTCCCACCTTGGCACACCATTGATGTTAAAAGAGTACCATTACACATCCAATGGGTGAAATGTATTAACTTGAACGCAAAATTTGTAGAGGATTTGGGTTCATAATTTCTCGTGATTGTGAAAAATGATCGATTACTGGCAAGTTTTATAATTATTACTGATCCTCACATCCTGTGTCCATGAGTCAGGCGTCACCACGTAGCCACAAATAAGTCTGACATGAAACCGATAATCTTAACAAAGAATAGCAACAGATTAACACGCTCTATATATTCACCCCCGTATAGACTATGTAGGTAAGTAATACATATATATTTATATCGCCCAATGTGTTAGAATCAAGACCCGATGCAGACGATCCATGGTTTTAATCGTCCACGAAAATTATGGGCACAACCCCAAATCGAATCCACACAAACCATGGCAAATGCGGTTACTTAAAGCACATTTGAAAATAAAAACTCTCCGGTAGTGTGCCATGTGGTTACCCAGAGTAGACCACAGAAGGTATGACATCTCAATGCCCAATTCACGAATACGAAGGAGGGAGGCATCATCAGAGCAGTACAACCCACTACATCTGACACAATCTGGCTAAACTACTTCAACCATTCGAAGAGGACATCTATAGATTTCCACTGAGACCATTACACTTAACATCGGTACCTTAGACAAGTACAGATACCCTATACAATCACAGATCTATAAGCTCAGCTGCAAAAAGGCAGAGCAGTTTTTGCAAGAGAAATATTTGTTCTCGAAAAAGTGCAATGTCTGCCCGCTGGTGGCATTATAACAATATCACACCTGATAAATTTGTACCTGGTACGAATGAATGAACCTTCAGTACGAGGTAAAATTTACTTTGATGTGAACCCAGCACAGGAAAGGTCTGGTTCATGTTTTGAAACTCAGTAGAGGAGCCGTTTTTTGATATCGAACAGGAGGTGGAGAGTGACTTTATTGGCTATTTCACATTGACGTATATATTGTCGGGGGCGAGGTAGGTGGGATCGGAACTGGCCATGGTCTTGGCATCATCTTCTGTCTTCGACGGTGTACCTGAGTGGTGGTCCTCTTGGGGTTTACTTGAATAAGATGAAAATAAAAGTTTGAGCACGATGATCCAACACACATGTAACAATAACTATGTATCTCTATGTTTATAAAGCGCCACTCACAAGTATAGATACAATCACTCTAAGCGAAATAGCAAGCTGAAAATAACAATATATTAATAATAACATGCATACAAAATCTAAACAATCGGGACATTTTATTTTTATGCGAATTATTTTAACAAGCGCCCGTGATTTTTATCAAGGCAGTCACCTGTCTAACACACTTGGACTGCGCCCTCGGCTTCAGCTCCACCCCTGTCTCTACCCCCTCCCTCCCCCCATTGTCTAACACAGTTGGACTGGGCCCTCGCCCTCAACTCCACCTATATCTCTACCCCCTCTCTCTCCCCTATCTCTACCCCCTCCCTCCCCTCATTGTCTAACACACTTGGACTGTGCCCTCAGCTTCAGCTCCACCTATATCTCTACCCCCTCTCTCTCCCCTATCTCTACCCCCTCCCTCCCCTCATTGTCTAACACACTTGGACTGTGCCCTCAGCTTCAGCTCCACCTATATCTCTACCCCCTCTCTCTCTGCCCTCTCTCTCCCCCTGTCTCTGCCCCCTCCCTCCCCCCATTGTCTAACGCACTCGCTGTACTTGTACTTGTGGTGCTTTGCTCCTACATTGGCGCTGGCTGCCCCACCCATGCTGTTTACGCCGCATAGCTTTGCTCACTTTGAAAGCCCTGATAAGCAGTTGCATTTGGAGGCTTGCCCCCTCTTTTCTCTCCGCCTGATCAAGACCTCTTGGGTTGCGATCGAATTCCGATACAAATATAGTCGAACCAACGCCATATATACTACTAAAAAATATTACAATAACTTTTTAAAACTTAAAATCTCATAAATGGTCCTCAAACTCATGCTCTTTTGGGCTCTTATATCAGGACATATAAAAAGCTCAACTTATAAAATAGTTCTACAATGTATGGACGTTTTGAAGGTCTGTTAACTTAAAAAGTAACGTCATGTTTTTCATTTGTGTTTTTTTTTTGCATTCTGGAAGAGTCAAATATAAAAGTCCTGCTAATATATTAAGTTGAATTCGATTTTTATTTTTCAATCGACTAAGCCTGGATGAGAATGTGATACGAGTAACATCAAGTCACATTTTGATTGGATCTTGAAGTAATTTTTGTTTAAAATTTTAATTGTACAGTGCAAATGCTTCTAACAAAAATAAAGTGTTACCCATATAATTGTTCATTGCATGAACTAGACACTTCACTTACACCCATGGTAAGCATGATTTTCACTCGTGTAAAATTGTATTACCTACAGTAAGAGCAAATTATGTGTCAATTGTATGTAATTGTGACTTTTCCACGTACCCATTATCCAGATCTTCATAAATGCAGTCGTCACAATTCACGTATTCATTGTAGGCCTTATGACTTGCATCACAAACATCATTTTTCATGCCACTTGGTATAGCCGGGAGATCATCCCATTTTCTTGTGCTATAAAAATGAAATGACATTACAATATATTGCTGAGCAATTTTTTTTAATTCCAACATGCAGGCAATGTGCAAAAAGTACTTTTATAGGAAATGTAGCTACAACTGATGTTGCCCGCCTCAAAACGCAACCGCACGAACCACTTCGCTTATCACTCCATGCCCGTTGAGTTTTAATGTTTGTACTTTTCCGATTAGCAATATAATTACTTAATTATTAACTTCAGAAATAAATACTTGAATCGTGTTCTTCTCTGTCGAGACGTGTCTACAAATAGACAGTTCGCATCAATGGAAGCTCCTGGCCTCCAACTGTGATTTACATAATTTACTTGTTTCAGCCCATTGTAGTGTTTCCAAAATTGATGTTTAATAATTGCCATTTCATGAGGATACCACTGGAGCCATGCACTTTTTAAAAACTAGATTGTAAACTAATTTCCTTATAACTGCGTTTTGTGTTTAGTTTGTGCTCCCCCAGCACCTCCGATGAGCACCGTTGAATACGTACGGTATGAAACAGGTTAAGTATGTGTACATACATACAAAAGCGGGAGATTCTCAGTGGTGAGCACATACGATTCGTCGAAGAGACAACCAGTGCATGCAGCTACTAAGACACCAACACGTGAATAATGCCACTGCTAATGCTAGAAATAGTTCTAAAAGCAAACAAAATATAACTTCACCACCACTATTTCATTACTACACTGATATATTCAGTGTATTGTATATGCCCACGAATCAAACAGAATTAGTTTTGTACTGTAAGACACTGGTTATTGTAATATATGTCGATAATCTCAAATGCTATACAAGACACAGAAGCAAACTCTCATTAACTCTTGAAAAAAATGCTTCAATCCCTTTTATAAATTAATGTGTACAATATAATTGAATAAATGGAAGCGTATACACTTTTTATTTTACAAGGTAAGGCCCACTGAGCAATGTAGCTATTTTTCAGAAGTGACCTGGCCACGAATGATAACTCAACAAAGTAACGTATCAGGGGGGGATGTATAGCAGCCAAATATTCAAGTGTAAACGCATGTTTCCAAATTGAGGAGGGGGGGGGAAACCAGAGGGCCTGGAGAAAAATCCATGCCACCATGGGCAGAACATGTCAACTCCAAATATACAGGCGTCAGGGCCTGGATCGAAACCACGACCTACTGTATACCAGGCAAGGTAGTTAACATCTCGCTGCCATGGTGCTATAAAAACATGAATATGTTTTATGATCATATTTACGTAAATAAATATGAATATGTTTTAATATATGCTTTAAAAATGTCCACAGGTCCTGATATCTTGTGGAAGAGAGTTCCATAGTCTGAGGGCTACAGGGGAAAACGCGTGGTCACAAGTCAACCAAAGCCTCGTCCTTGGAATGCAGAGAATATTTGCATCTCCAGATCTGAGACCTGAGGGGGACTGGTGAAGAGGAGCTAGATGAGTCGATGAGACAAACAGATATGAATAATTAATACTTACCTAGTTTGCTGTATGGAATCGGGTCTCTTGAAACAGTTCCTGTAGAAAGAGGGACATGTTGGGAACATTTAACCAATAGGGAGACTACTAGGTGGACAGACACACAGATGAATGGACAGACAGAAGCAGTGATAGGTCTAGGAACGAACTGAGTTCCTAGCGTTTAATCTGGGCAGATGCCTGTATTTAAAACTGGGCTCAACCAAGTAACCAATGACTGCACAAAAACCGGACAACATGAATTTGCTTCTGCACTTTTTAGAAATTCCAGCTCTGACAATTACAAACTCAGTCATAAACTTTCCTGAAAGTGAATATATACTAGATTATATTTCTGGCAATAGCGTTTATTTAAAACACATAGATAAAGAAGGACCATTATCCAAAACGTCATCTAGTGTATTTCCTGTTAAAGCAGTGGTATTAACAAATGCGTTTAGTTTTTGTTATCTATGCTTATGAATTACTGCCAATGCAGTATCACAAAAAGTATTAAAACAATAGGTTTGAATGCCATGTGGTGAATATTGCCTATTCCGTAGCTGGGTGAGTAGGAATCTGCAGCCCCCTACTGTATGACTGTATACAGTAGGGGGCAGCCACGCTAATCAGAGGTGCAGGGGAAGGACACGAAACTAAACACAAAAATAATTTTAAGAAATTAGTTTGTTAATCGAGATCATTTAAAAGTCCCAAGCTCCAGTGGATTCCTAATACCGGATGGAAGAGCGTTCGAGACGGGCGCAGAAGTGCATACGAAAGCACGCGATGCAGTGACCGTATTTGTTCGATGAGCAGCCAAAAGCCGCTGCTGCTGCAAGGATGACCGGAGTGTGACTGACTCAGACATAACTTTAAGGAATATTGGACGTAGTTGTGTGATATCTGTTTCCCGCAGACTGACTGACTCAGACATAACTTTAAGGAATATTTGACGTAGTTGTGTGATATCTGTTTCTCGCAGACCGTTGTCTAACACGGGGTGATGCACTACTCTGCCATCGTTGTTTCGCCTCATGACGAAACAACGATAGCACTACATTTCGATTTAAAGCTTTCGTGACTGCAAGGATTCATCTTCTTTGGTTTTTTCGGTAAAGGAAACGTGAATTAAAAGGAGACATGATGGTTCAATGAGCCACTCTGTCTACAGGAAAGCTACCCATACAGATGCTTACTTGAAACCGGATTCCCACCACCATCCATCCCAGAAGAACTCCCTCATCAAGACTCTATACCATAGAGCCCAATGCATTTCCGACCAGGAACACATTACCAGTGAACTCAAGCACGTACACCAGGCTCTCAGGGCTAATGGTTACTAAGACTACACAATCCGCAAAGCCATCACTCCAGTCATGAAGAAGGATCCTTTGTGGAGCCACTCAAAACCATCACCTTACCCTACATTGCAGGGGTCACTAAAAGATCTCCAAAATCCTGAATAAACACAAGATCCAGGTCCGATTCAACACAGTACATAAAATCCGTGATTTAGTTCCATCTGTAAAAGATGCTGTTCCAGACATACAGTACCCGGGCGTTTACAAACTAAAGTGCCTCTGTGGTAGTAGCTACATTGGAGAAACCAAACGACATATCTCGGACCGCATCCGCGAACATAAAGCAGACTTGAAACACGGTAGGACGAACTCCTCTGCCGTGGCAGATCACTGTTATAATTCAGTGGGCTCACATGACATTGACCTCTCCAAGACGGAGGTTCTTTGCAAACCAACCGGCTACCATGAGAGATTCGTTCATGAGGCCATTCACATATACAAGCACAGAGATAATTTCAACCGAGAAGATGGATTCTGGCTTAGTAACCATTGGAAAGATGTTTTAAACCATTTCTGTTCTTAATTAATTGTATTTTACGATGACCTTCAGACCGCAGCTCTTTCGCCAGCATTGACTCTTAATACCTCTCACACCACGGTTAATGGTATGGTTTACAACATGGAGTATAATAGCGCCTCGCAGCTGTCTCTCTCCCCCTCCTCTGTTCCGACCATGGATGAACTCGTCCGTCTGAACGGGCCCGTAGCTATCCGTGGTGCTAAAGTTGAGGGTAAGAATCCACCCATTTTTTCGCCATATAGCATTGTGATATATAACGACTTATTGTTCGTAGCTTAGCTGATTGGAGAATATAGTTTATTGATAACATTAAGGTAATTTATATTTTAGTTTTTTATTGGTTCACTATATAGTACTGTGAATAGCTCAGATGTGTAGGCCTTGACTTTAACATAGTCATTTCTGTGACCAGTCACTAGCTAATCACTCAGTTATTTCAATGCTAAATTCGCCTAGTTATTTCAATGCTAAATTCTCCTGTTTGATTTGTACTAAGTGCCTCGGTGAATGTGTATGCTCTGACTTTAACGTAGCTATTTCTGTGACCAGTTACAAGCTAATGACTCAGCTATTTCAATGCTAAATTCTATGCTAATTCCTTTGTCAAGGGGTGCTCTGCGGATGTGTATACTTTAACTTAGCTATTTCAATGCTAAATTCTATGCTAATTCCTTTATCAAGGGGTGCCTCTGCGGATGTGTATGCTTTAACTTTTAACATAGCTATTTCTGTGACCAGTCACAAGCTAATCACTCAGCCATTTCAATGCTAAATTCTATGCTAATTGCTTTGTCAAGGCGCTTTGTTTCTTCTCACACAGCTTAAAGGTCGTGATCTGAACGTGGCTCTTTCACTCCAGCGCTGTCCTACCAGACAGTCTCGTCCCTTCACCTGATGAAGGCCGCTTGTGTTGTGGCCGAAACGTCGTGAGAATATTATTGTGTTATTTTATTTTATCAATTTATTATTTTATTCTCATTCTACGTGACTTTACCGAAAGAACCAAAGAAAACGATAGCACTATCAAAATAGCACTGTGGGGAAAGACACATCAAAACCAAAACTTAATGAATCACTTCATTTAGGAAAGCAGAGTTGGCGTTTTACAATGAGGCTGCGTGAGTTAAGATACACTGATCAGGGTCTTGAAGGATTGGCAAATAACCCCACAACCCGTGCGTTGTGGATAGATCTTCATCCATAAGTCAATTCACGACGGGTTGTTCATATACACCTGTGACCAAAGTTGACATCGCAGTGAATGTGAAGTTGGCAGCTGTGCTGTGCTGTGTGTGTGCGCTCAGAACGTACAGTCGCTCCCGGCGTACGTAGAGTAAGACCCCTCCAGCAATGATCACCAACGCTCCCAGCACACCTCCCACCACAGGGCCAATGATGCTTCCCGAGCCTGATAGGGAATGGAAAGGGGAGACGGGCGGCATCAGCGGGCTGTGTCGATACCGAATAGACTCGAGATATTGAAAAAAAAATGTGGGTTAGATTGCGTAAATATTAATGTCGTTTAACCCGACACAGCCAATTAGTAAGCTTTGTCACGTCAACAAAACGTGCCAATCAGTTACTAGTTCAGCAGTAAGCAGTTGTGTGTTGAAGAAAAAATCCACAACATTTACAATTCGAGTACAACGTTTTGCGATGGCCAGATTCGTCGAACCTTACTAATTGGCTGTGTCGGGTGGTGGCGGATTTAACGACATTCATATTTACGCGATCTAACTAGGAAAAAAATCCCTTTATGAACACTATTGGTCGCGAAAGTACTATTATTATTCCTGATCCTCCAGCGTGCGGTGCCACCACCTCGGGTAACCCAGTCGTCGGCATAAACCCGAACCCTGCTCCTGACTCAACCACCTACTCAACCTGGTCCTGATTCACCCACCTACTCTACCTGGTCCTGACTCACCCACTTACTCTACCTGCCCCTGACTAACCCACCTACTTTACCTGGCCCTGACTCACCCACTTACTCTACCTGGTCCTGACTCACCCACCTACTCTACCTGGTCCGGACTCACCCACCTACTCTACCTGGTCCGGACTCACCGACCTACTCTACCTGGTCCTGACTCACCCACCTACTCTCTTCTCTCGCCCCAGCCCCTTCACTTGAACAAATTTACCCCTGCTCATTAAGCAGTCATCCTTTCTAATTAATTTCTGCTTCATCCTCTACCTCTGTCAGCACCCACTTGTATATGGCCTCACATAACCATTTTCGTGGCCCACACAGTAAGTGGCGCTCTGCTCTCTCAGACACTGACCCTGCTGCTTACCCCTCATTGTCTGGCATCCATGCCCACTCCTCAATTGTCTCAGTTTTTTTATGCTTCGGAACACTGGCAACAGCCTTTCTGGAACTGGGACCGTGTTGGCCCAAGCAATAAATAACAGAGTTTCGATGAAATATTTTCATATAACAATGCACATTGTAAATGGTCAATATTTTACACGCACTTTTTGTTGTGCGTACTGATGAGTGCAGTGCTCAATGAACCTGATTATCAGAGTTGAATTCCCGATTACAGTTCATGTCAGGGGTGACTGATGTCTGAACCGGTCCTGTCCTCTACCCCCGTTCACCAACGTGCATTAACCAGTGTGGTGAAACGTGGCCACGCATCTCCCACGTGTGGTGAAATGTGGTCAAGACAGCGTTGGCAAGCCTTTAGCCACGAGCATATTAAATTTAATCCAATGGCATTTTATTTGCTGGAGACTGTACAATTGTGACTGGTTTGTAGTGAAGATGTAAGATGGTCTAAACTGAGTTTTCCTAGCACCATTGACTTCACGTCTAGATTTCATACAAAGCACTTACCACAAATTAACAGTGATATCTTACTGATCTCATCATGAAGCATAAACCATCACGCAAACTCCGGTCATTCTCACTGTAGCAGCGGCCTTTGGCTAGCCATCGAACAATGATGACCAGCGCATCATGCGGCACTTTCAGATGCGCTTGTATGGCCGTCTGTAACGATTTTTCTTCTGATATTAGAAAGTCACTGAACCTATGCACTTTAAAATCATCAATATTCAAAACTAATTTCTTTGGAACAAATGTTTCTGTTTAGTTTGTTGTCCTTTCCCCGCACCTCCAATTAGCACAATTGGCTATGTAGGGTGGAAAATAAGTTCAACATACATACACATGTGACGAGATGATTGGATATGCTCTTATGCTAAATGGAAGTAATTGGGAATACTTACTCCCGATGCCACCCACTGTCATGAGTGGTAGAGAGAAGCGTGTGTCCGTGTAGATGGCGCGGACAGAGCGTGCGTTTGGGAGGTACGTGTAGACGCGGAAACTGATCCTGAATGGTGACAATAGGCAAGGTGGAAGAACAACAAGAGAATGGGGGCAGGAGTTTAGGCAACTGATGAGTGTGGAAATATGCATCCATCGGCTTTGTATGCGAGAGGTGATATAAGGGTTCATACCTCCCGAATATTCCTGTTATATCTCTTTTCATTGCAACTTTACAACATGGCACTTGTGCCACGCTAGGTGCATTTTTTAGCATTAGAGCAGCGTGGCAGACAGAGGAAAACTGCACGGGTTTCACCTCCAGTTTACCAACGTGTTCTACATAGGCCTATGAAGGCCTCTCCTCTTGCAACCACGTAATGTTACCCTCCTTACGGGGACACCGTGTAAACATTTCAGCAGGTGACTGCAAGGATTCATCTTCTTTGGTTCTTTCGGTAAAGGCACGTAGAATGAGAATAAAATAATAAAAAAACACAATACAATTCTCACGACGTTTCGGCCACAACGCAAGCGGCCATCTTCAGGTGAAAGCTACAGACCTGTCGGGACGACAGAGCTTCAATGAACGATGTTAAGATTCGTAGCGACTTTTAAAGTGAGGCACCTTGACAAAGGGGTTTACATATCAAATAGCTGAGGGATTAGCTTGTGACTGGTCACAGGAATGGCTATGTTAAAGTCAAAACCTACACATCCACAGAGGCAACTAGTAATTTAGCATTGAAATAGCTAAGGGATTAGCTTGTGACTGGTCACAGAAATAGATGTTAAAGTAAAGGCCTACACATCCACAGAGCTTCAATGAACGCTGTTAAGATTCGTAGCGGCTTTAAGCTGGTTGGGAGAAGTGAGGCCCTTGACAAAAGGGGGTTTGCATATCAAATAGCTGAGGGATTAGCTTGTGACTGGTCATGGAAATGGCTATGTTAAAGTCAAAACCTACACATCCACAGAGGCAACTAGTAATTTAGCATTGAAATAACTAAGGGATTAGCTTGTGACTGGTTACAGAAATAGATGTTAAAGTCAAAGCCTACACATCCACAGAGGCACCTCGTACATGGACGCCAAAGGGGGCTGCAACAACTCAACTGTCATACAGTAAACCGATGTGAAAAACCTAATTCTAAATTACATCAATATAATAAATGTACTCAATATAGTCTTCAATAAGCTGAGCTATTAACACTAACTGGGTATACACTGCACTATATGAATACCATATAGTAAACCAATAAAAACTAAAATATAAACTACCTCAACGTTATATCACAATGTTATATGGACAGCTACGAGCCCCGTTCAGACGGACGAGTCCATCCATGGTTGGAGCGGAGGAGGAAGGAGGGGAGAAACAGCTGCGAGGCGCTGTTATACTCCATGTTATAAACCATACCATTAACCGTGGTGTGAGAGGTATTAAGAGTCAGTGCCAGCGAAAGAGCTGCAGTCAATGTCATGACATTGACTTCTCCAAGACAGAGGTTCTTTGCAAACCAACCGGCTAACATGAGAGATTCGTTCATGAGGCCATCCACATATACAAACACAGAGACAATTTCAACCGAGAAGATGGATTCTGGCTTAGTAACCATTGGAAAGATGTTTTAAACCATTTCGGTTCTTAATTAATTGTATTTTACGAGGACCTTCAGACCGCAGCTCTTTCGCTGGCACTGACTCTTAATACCTCTCACACCACGGTTAATGGTATGGTTTATAACATGGAGTATAACAGCGCCTCGCAGCTGTTTCTCCCCTCCTTCCTCCTCCGCTCCAACCATGGATGGACTCGTCCGTCTGAACGGGGCTCGTACCTGTCCGTGGTTGCTGAAGTGGAAGGTAAGAATCCACCCGTTTTTTCACCATATAGCATTGTGATATAACATTGAGGTATTCTTTTTTATATAAATAAATGTGCCGTTTTAAAAATAAATTTATGCAAACCTACACACCTGATGATGACCGTTTGAGTTATGGTCGAAACGTCGTGATAATTTTTTATTGTTTTATACATATTTTGTTATTTTGTTGTTTCTCTTCAACGTGACTTTACCGAAAAAACTAAGAATATGAATTACTGCAGTCACGAAAGCTTTAAATCAAAATTTAACATTGAGGTAGTTTATATTTTAGTTTTATTGGTTTACTATATGGTATTCATTATATAGTGTAGTGTATACCCAGTTAATGTTAATAGCTCAGCTTATTGAAGAATATATAGAGTACATTTATTATATTGATGTAATTTAGAATTAGGTTTTTCACATCGGTTTACTGTATGACAGTTGAGTTGTTGCAGCCCCCTTTGGCGTCCATGTACGAGGTGCCTCTGTGGATGTGTAGGCTTTGACTTTAACATCTATTTCTGTGACCAGTCACAAGCTAATCCCTTAGCTATTTCAATGCTAATTACTAGTTGCCTCTGTGGATGTGTAGGTTTTGACTTAAACATAGCCATTTCCGTGACCAAGTCACAAGCTAACCCCTCAGCTATTTGATATGCAAACCCCCTTTTGTCAAGGGCCTCACTTCTCCCAGCCAGCTTAAAGTCGCTACGAATCTTAACAGCGTTCATTGAAGCTCTGTGGATGTGTAGGCCTTTACTTTAACATCTATTTCTGTGACCAGTCACAAGCTAATCCCTTAGCTATTTCAATGCTAAATTACTAGTTGCCTCTGTGGATGTGTAGGTTTTGACTTTAACATAGCCATTTCCGTGACCAGTCACAAGCTAATCCCTCAGCTATTTGATATGTAAACCCCCTTTGTCAAGGTGCCTCACTTGTGGATGTGTAGGCCTTTACTTTAACATCTATTTCTGTGACCAGTCACAAGCTAATCCCTTAGCTATTTCAATGCTAAATTACTAGTTGCCTCTGTGGATGTGTAGGTTTTGACTTTAACATCGCCATTTATGTGACCAGTCACAAGCTAATCCCTCAGCTATTTGCACAAGCTAATCCCTTAGCTATTTCAATGCTAAATTAAAAGTTGCCTCTGTGGATGTGTAGGTTTTGACTTTAACATAGCCATTCCTGTGACCAGTCACGAGCTAATTCCTCTGCTATTTGATATGTAAACCCCTTTGTCAAGGTGACTCACTTTAAAAGTCGCTACGAATCTTAACTTCGTTCATTGAAGCTCTGTCGTCCCGACAGTTCTGTACCTTTCACCTGAAGACGGCCGCTTGCGTTGTGGCCGAAACGTCGTGAGAATTTCATCGTGTTATTTTATTATTTTATTCTCATTCTACGTGACTTTACCGAAAGAACCAAAGAAGACATTTCAGCAGGGTTTTAATTCGTTGAAATAAGCTCACAAAAAACTCACGCAGACGGGGGACCGTACCTGTAGGCAGTGTTTTGCTTCAAGGGGCCATCGGAGAAGCTGCCACTCGTTCTGCCGGTACCAATTTGGACACTGACGACGGATTTGGGGTTGGAGCACTCGGAGGGGTAGACACGATCGTCCACCTGGTACACGTTTGTAATGCCACGCGCATATTCCGAGTACGTGCTCAGAGGCCACCTCTTCTCTGGACTCTCGCTGCTGGTTCCTGTGTGAATCCATTCATTGGTGGATTCCTTTTTTACATTCATTCATTAAAAGTTGCACGTAAAGTTTCCAAAATGAATCCTCAATGGTACACTCGGCAAACGCGGAACTAAATTGCACGTGAATATTTGCACTTCATATAAAAAATGTGTATATACTTCAGTTTCGATAACTGTAACAATTTCAACTCGAAGATGGAGAATGACTCATAGAGGTGCAAGATGGAAAAGCAGCAGCCAGTAAGTGAGCTGGCTTTAAATTCAGACCCAGACTCCCCCCTTCTACCACTGAAGTTTAGCTCTACAGTCCTCTGTATATAAAGGTGTCATCGGTCAATTAATGAGTGTTTACATCCAGGAGGAAACCAGAGTTCCCAGAGAAAACGCACGTAGGGCAAGATCGTTCCATACAGATGCCTTCTCCTGGCCAGCGAGGGTATGGGATAACGAAGTTAATGGGTAGGGCGTTTCACTACATAGAGTGATTCAGCAACCCTCGCCTCCACTGTTGGGGATTACAGACATGCATAGCTACCAAGGCCTGAATAAAAAAAAATGGTATTTGTGGAAGATGCAGTTATTGATGCCACTTATTTCTCGCATACTTAGCAAGCACTCTAATGTCGCATTTCATTCCCTAAGAAAGTTAACTATCATTTTAGTTGTGCATGAATTAATTGATCGAACAGTATTCATGGCACGTCCATTGCGTTACCCTCGGACTGCTTGACGATGACCGTGTAGTACTTGAGGTCGCCGTTTGTGTTCTGGAACCAGCTGCAGTTGAAGGAGATGGTTAGGCTGCTCGGTGTCACCTGGTTCTGCACCATCGTGATGTTCACCGTCTCCAGAACGGGTGGAGGAGCTACCCACATGAACATGGCAGTTTTGGAAATAAGCACAAGGCACAGACTCTTGTAATTTAGAGCCATTTGTTAATCCACTACTGGATGAAGGCATGGACATTACTTGACCATACTTTTCCATGCTGGTCAGTGTGGGATAGCGAAGCAGGGGCTGGAGGAACTAGCAACAGTTCAGATACTGATATTTACCATATCCAGAAAATGCATGGGGGGAGTCGCTCTATTCATAGCGCAGCACCCTCAATACGGTGTCCACTGCTCCAACCTAACAAGTGAGGCTTAAACAAAAATCCATCGTAGCCGTTATTGAACAGCCAGACGTCAGGGCAAGTGCTCTTAATGAGCAGCCATTTAAAGGATGGCACCGCTCACAAGGTAGTTGATAAGGCTACTCCCAGAACCAGCCACTTTTTTCCCTCTCCAGTGCTCTACGTAAGGTGAACTTTTTGTGCACCGCACTTAGCCAATCATGCTAAATCGGAGGTGCAGGAAAAATACAAATTCTGATGTTTAAACACTTAACCAGGTGGCCATTTGAGGTACAGTTGAGTAAGGTGATGCCCAGTACTAAACTTAAGTTGTTGGGTGTGTACGATGACAACTTTGAACTCTTTATAAAAATACCTCGCACAAAAAGATTGTTACTGGAATGTCATAAAGTTAGGAAACGGTTAAGAAATTAAAATTACTGATACATGTTGCTGTTGGTGGATGGGTTCCTGGACATGGACCCCCTGCTACCAGACCAGACCACCCGATTGTCTCCAAAAGGCATTGCACACATTTATGAAGGGGAGACAGATTGATTTGCTCACACATTTGGTTAAAAACTCAACAATCACAACCACTCATGTGCCAATAGAAATGGATGAACTCACCGCTTATGTCGGTCTGTGCTTTTCCTTGTAGAGTTTGACTGGGCAGATCTCCTGAGAAGGTGGTGATATTGACTAAGTATTCAGTGTTCGGCTTCAGACGTCCAAGCATAGCAAATGTTACATTTGTTCTTCCATTTCCCGGAGGCTCCATAATTTTTTCATTTGAAGGATATATGGTTATGACTGGTAAACCGTCATTGAAGATGCCTACGACCTGCAAACAATCACTGCCTTTGATCACTTGCAGAAGCAGCATGCTCCATACACCGTCGGGGAGAGACCAACTGCAGGAAATATTCTCCGTGGAATACGGGAAGCAAGAAAAGTATTTGACAGATGCTGGATCTGGGGGAAAAAAGTTGGTGAATGGGGTAGTTGGGGGGGAGGGGATGCAGGATTGGTGAAGATGTAACTCACTGCTGATATTACCAATGACCATTAATCAAACCCATTTAATTCAAAACAGTGGCACAAAAAACTGACATTGCAGGGGCTCGGTTTTGAGCATGTGCGTGCATGTGAGACACGGTTGGCGCCTAAAATTGTCGACTCTATTGGCAATACAGGCGTGCCAACATTGAGCCCGATTACCCTCGGTGTGCGTGCTTACCAGACCACCTCTTCTCCTCGTTTCCGGGTCTTCTGGTTTTTCTCTCCAGATTTAAAAGTAATGCGTTTAGAGTATTTGGCTGCTAAAGTTTCAGATGATGATAAGCCGCCACTTCGTTTTTGCTATCATTTATGATCGCCAGGCCGCTTCTGAAAAGAGCTACATAGCTCAGTGGGCCTTACCTGGTACAATAAAAATAGTGTTCGTTGTCTACCGAGGTCACTTCTCTATGATGATGGATAACTGGGCCTAATCTCACGTGGCCCCCAGGTCCGTGGAGTTCACATCCCATGGATGTTCACTATGCTGACTCCATAGCTTTATTCAATTCGTGCCTTAAGAGGCACTTATTTTTAAAGGAAATTTTCTATTTCTTGAATCTTTTTAGTTTGAGGTTGGATTGTATTGGGTTGGGCCTGCACGTGTGTGTGTGTTTTGTACAACGCCTTCTGACCTCCAGGTGCAAGGCGCTTTAGCAGTGTAAATACATATCAAATTATTATAAGGTTAAAGGATTACGTCTGCCTACTATAAATCAGCCCAAATCACATCCTTCCACGTTTTTTTGGCCTACTTATAGCAAAAGAGAATGCTGGCCTGTCAACGTGACCAATGTGAATAGTGTATGTCTATTTTAAATGCAGGGACAATGGGAGCAATACATGGTGGTGAAACGTTTTCAATACCAAATTAAGTAATGCAATGTGTATTATACGCAATGCACTTATGATATATAGTAACATACACACATTACTGTATAAATTAATATAGTCTGATCAACAGATGTATAGGTACTTACAAGTTCTGCTCATGACCACATCTGACCAAATTGAGAAGGACCCATTGGTAGCCTCCACAGACATGGAGTAGTTCATTCCAGGAACCAGGCCAGTAAATGTTGCCGTGGTTGTGTAAATCGAGAATCTTGTAACCAAGCTTCCACTCACAGTCTCTCTCAAGTAGGCCCAGTAGGAGAACGAGTCTGGGAGATAAGTTGTTCCTGATACTGTAATGGTCGTGGTAGTCTTGCTAGTGATGGTTAAAACGATGTCACTTGACACTGAAATGGCCACATGCAAGCAAGACATTTAATGGCATGTTTTAGTTATTTTACAATGGTTGAAGCAAATGATGAGAAATACCAATTAGAAACAATGGCAGCATCATGTGGTGGTGAAACGCTTTGAATACTAAAGTAATACAACGTGTAATATATGCGATGCACTTGTGATATATAGTAGCATACAGAGATTACTGTCAATATTAATATAGTCTGAACAGTTGACCACAACGGAACTTACAAGTTCTGTCCATTACCACATCTGACCAATATGAGACAGACCCATCGGAAGCCCACACAGACACAGAGTAGTTCCTTCCTGGAACCAAGCCAGTAAATGTTGTCACGTTTGAGTAAATCTGGAATGTTGTAACCAAGTTTCCACTCGCAGTCTCTCTCAAGTAGGCCCAGTAGGAGAACGAGTCTGGGAGATACGTCGTTCCTGAGACTGTCATGGTCGTGGTAGTCTTCCTCATGATGGTTAAAACGATGTAACTTGACACTGAAATGGCCACATGCAAGCAAGACATTTTAATGACATGTTTTAGTTATTTAACAATTATTAAAGCGAATAATGTGAAAGAACAAAAGCAAACAATGGCAGCATCATGTGGTGGTGGAACTTTTCAATACTAAAGTAATACAACGTGAATTATATGCAATGTACTTGTGATATATAGTAGCATACAGAGATTACTGTCAATATTAATATAGTCTGAACAGTTGACCACAACGGAACTTACAAGTTCTGTCCATTACCACATCTGACCAATATGAGACAGACCCATCGAAAGCCCGCACAGACACAGAGTAGTTCCTTCCAGGAGCCAAGCCAGTAAATGTTGTCACGTTTGAGTAAATCTGGAATGTTGTAACCAAGTTTCCACTCGCAGTCTCTCTCAAGTAGGCCCAGTAGGAGAACGAGTCTGGGAGATACGTCGTTCCTGAGACTGTCATGGTCGTGGTAGTCTTCCTCATGATGGTTAAAACGATGTAACTTGACACTGAAATGGCCACATGCAAGCAATACATTTGAATGGCATATGTGGGACAATAGGAATGGAACACTTTAATTATTTCCTCGTGCAGCAATGGAGTAAAGTGTGGTTTTGTGAAGGTCCTGATGTGCTGTGCAGTACATAAATCCAGTGTACATCAGCATGTGAAATTGAGTCGGGCCTATAGGTGGCTGGCAGGGTTATTGAGTAACCTGACCTGGACACCAGTCGCATGCTTAATGGTGACATGGTTGAGAATTTCTGTGTGTAACATCAAGTGCTGTTGCATTTTACAGGTAAAGAACCCAAATGTTTGTTTTGATGGTTATAGAAATGTTCAAGTCTTTAAGCTTGGCTTTGAATTGGTAGATTGTGATATATTCAAAAGGAGGGGGTTTAGGACTGTACACTGTAAAGGATGATGTACTGTAGTTAACACTGGTGATTCTTTAACCCTAATACTGTTTATTCTATAACCATGCCCATTTACCCATAGTATGACTAATTGCAATGCTATTAAGAATATACCACATTTACAATAGTAAGTTGTACAATGGTGACAAGTACAGTACGTATACAGTACATATACAGTGAAGATAATGAGTGTAAGATATCAGTTTAAGTGGATGGTAAATATAGACATTAAAGTAATATTCGAATTAAAGTAATATTCGAAGAATAGTGAAGTTTAAAGGTTATTATTAAATAAAAATATAATTTATCACCAGTGAAATGGATTTAAGGGAAAATGTTGAGTAACCTGACACTGTACACCGGTCACATGGTTCATAGCGACTAGGTTGGAAACTTCTGTGTAACACACGTGCTGTTGCATTTTACAGATTATCACAATGAATGCGATTGCCCTCGATTTGGAACACCTGCCCACGTCCTTCATTTCGAGTGTACAACATATTTTGCCGAGCCTGGCAGGATAGTTTCCCAGAGGTCACTGACAGGGATCAACTCTTCCAACGAGATGGACCAAGCAATTGTATGGGCACCATATGTAAAGACAGTCGTGCAAGGATCTGAACGGTCGTCACTTCATGGCACTGGAACAGCTGCAGGATAAGGTCAATGCTGCCTTGAATCAGCTGCAGAGAGCCCAGCTCAAGGAAACATGTAGATGTTTGAAGTGTTTCCATGATTATGAGACTGGTGAAGATAATAGCAGACAGGCTTTAATTCTCGATTTAAAGCTTTCGTGACTGCAGGGATTCATATTCTTGGTTCTTTCGGTAAAGTCAAGTAGAAAGAACCAAGAATAGGCTATAATTCGTATGGCAGAAATAGTACTCGATGAAATTGAAGACCAAGAAGAATATTTTGAAACCTGTGTTCAAAACCTGCTGTCTTTCATTGAGACAATACAACAGAAATACAAAGACAGCAAGGGAACAGGTCAAACATTGCCACCATCAAAACTATCTGAAGATGTGGATGATGAAATACAGGAGTCACAAGAAGATTCCAGAAAAACCCTTGAGGAAAATAAAACCTCAAGTGAAGGTGGAACAAAAACCAGAGCAGCATTGGATCTCGTACAATTGGCCAGACCAGAAGCCACAATACGGAGATAATTCAGGACCTATAGGCAGATTGGTGAAGGAGTCTGACATCATTGAGGTAGTTATCAAAGCAATCAGTCCTGGTCTGAATTTGAGGGACATGCTAGAAATGGAAACTGATTTGACTATTTACAAGTTAAAAACAAATTTGAAGGTACAATATAGAGAACAAAGCATTAGTTGATGAACATCTCTCAGGAGACAAGAGAATCTGCACGAAACTTTTTGTTCAGAGCTATCGAATTAAAGGGCTCTGACGAGCAGAAGACAGATTGGAAGAACTACCTTGTTAAGGTAGTGCATGCTTATAACTGTACTCGTAGTGAGGCAACAGGATTCTAAACTTTTTATCTCCTGTTTGGGAGGTCTCCAAATCTATTAGTGAATCTTATTTTTGGTTTCGAACACCAGGGAGGATCGTATAAGCATTAAGTGGAAAAGTGGAGACAGCGGATGGTGGAAGCCTACAGAATAGCTCCAACTTTGCAACAAAATAACGGAAGGGCCAGTATGACGAGAAAATCCATGGGGCAGAGCTACAACAAGGCAATCGTGTCCTGGAGCGAAATATGAGTGAGAAAGCGGGACCGGGCAAAATTCGATCCTACTGGGAGGACAATGTGTTTATTGTCATTGGGAGAAAAAGTAATGACAGCCCAGTATATGAGGTCAAACCTTCGAGTGGTGAAGGGAGAACCAAGGTGATTCATTGGAATTTGCTGCTACCTTGTGACTTCCTCCCAATTAAGCAGCCATCACAAAAGCAATGGAGAAAGAAGGCAAGAAAGAAACTCACCAAACAAGGACAAGAGGCCTATGTAAACACATGCAGGAACCAACAGACAGTGAGTTGGAAACGGATAAAGAATGTGAGCTTTCTAGAGTTAACCAAAAACTGATCAGCAAGCTACAGTAATACAGGACACGAAGTCACCATTGAACCCAGAAGCTGAAGAATTCCACCCACACAAGACAGAGGGTGAACAACAGTTATCGGCAGCAGCCGAGGAACATGTGTCACCAGCTGGTACAGAGAGCAGTGAGACAGATTCAGAGAGTGAATATCAGTTAACTGAAACAACTGAGGGACAGATCTTGCCGAAGGAATCAGGATACAGTGAGATCGATTTAGATGTAAATAATGAAGAAGAGCAGTTGAGTCCAGCAAGTGAATCTGCAAGGGACTTGGAAAATAACGATGAAGAAGATGAGAGTAGTCATCACAACAGGAGACTCCACCGTCAAAGAGAGAGAAGAAAGCCAAAGACACTCACCTATTAAAAGTTGGGCTAACCTACCATCGTGAGAAGGAGACCAGTAGCACAAGAGATAACTGTTGGTTTCTACACGAGACCATAGCGAAACAAGGGACTTTTAACTACAACATGGGTGATTAAGACAAAATATAAGCAGTGATCATATGGTTATAGTCTTAGTTCTTTCGGTAAAGTCACGTTGAAGGGAAACAATAAAATATATATAAAACAATAAACATTTTCACGACGTTTCGACCATAACACAAACGGTCGTCATGCACCTAGAGTATGACTACTTGCAATGCTATTAAGAATAGAACACGTGTAAAATAGTAAGTTGTACAATGATGACAAGTACAGTACGTATACAGTGCATATGCAGTACAGATAATGGGTGTAAGATATCTTTATAAGTAGATAGTATAGATAGACATACAGCTTAGGATTAAAATAATATTCGAATAGTGAAGTGTAAAGGTTTTGATTAAAGACAAAGATGGTTTATCAGTAATGGAATGGGTTTAAGGGAAACTGTTATTGAGTAACCTGACCTGTACACCAGTCACGTGGTTAATGGCGACTCGGTTGAGAATTTCTGTAACACGTGCTGTTGCATTTTACAGATTATCACAATAAATGTTTGCCCTCGATTTAGAGAACTTGACCACGTCCTTAATTTCGAGTGTGCAACACATGTTTTAGTTATTTTACAATGATTAAAGGGAATAATGAAAAATAAATGAATTAATACATTTCTTGCCTGCAAAGAACATAAATAGCTTGAGCATGCAACAGCAAGACAACAGGGCACACAGACATATTGAGCAACACACACTCTTGCTTAAGTAACCTTGCAAGCAGATGACTGAGGCATCTTCAGAGTGGAAGCAGTTGTGAATCCCCCAGGGACGATGACTACAGTCGGAGAGCTGAGTCTCATAACCAGAGCACTGAACATCGTCGAGAAAGATAGGGACACTGCCCTCTCCAAAGTAAGCATTTGATATGGCAACGCCATTGAGGCCACAACCCAGTTGATGACACACGACCTGGGCATCCTGCGAACTCCAAAAGTCGTCACAAACCGTGCCCCACCCGCCATTGTGGAACACCTCCACCCGGCCCTGACATGCGGTGTTACTCCCAGCCAGCCGAATTGACATGTCTAATTTAAACACACACAAACACACAAATTAGTACAGTCATTTAACGATTCGCCTACCATGCGGTGTGATAAATTGTCACAATTCGGGGTAATGATTCCGTTTAATAATTCATGGATTTTTTTCTTTCAATATTCATCGTGAATGTACTGAGTAAACTCTTATTGGCTGCAGAGGTCACATGGAATGATTACACACAATGTATACGAATATCAAATAAGCCTTTCTCAAACTCACTATGTAATGCATGCAGCGTGATGAATCGTTGCATCATCATGTGCCTATTATGTCAGAATACGTGTGGCTGAATATTCGAGTTAAAGGCACTGCATTTTGATCGCTAGGCAACATGTTTAAACGAGTGTCTATTGGCCATCATGATGAGGTATGCATTGATATATATGTGCCCATATGACTGAGAGGAGTTGCTTCATTATTTGATGATCAAGATTGTGGGCTTTTAGATGCGCGTCTGCAGCCTCCTGAAACGATCTTCCAATATTAGGAAGCCACTGGACCTATGCACTTTTACATGAAGGTTGAAGTCCTATTTCTTTAGAACTGCTTTTTGTATGTTAGTTCGTTGTCCTTCCCTCACAACTCTGATTAGCACTGTTGGCTATATATGGTGCAAACGAAGTTCAACATACATGCAAGGGAAGGTGTGAAATTCTTCCGTATGGCTAATGTAGATGCAGAGCAACAACTAAAATTTCACATTCAAGTTGTCAAGCCAGATAACCGCGTCAGGAGCAGCGGAATGTATCGCTGTGATGTCTCCTTTATATTTGTGGATCGGGCATTGGGTCGTCATATGTTGAACAGTCTCTGTTCTGAATGACCACAGTGGCACACTGGACAGTTTTTAATTTTCCATTTGTGGATCAGGTATCCGCATTTACTCCCATGATTTGTGCAGATACGGCTTAGAGTGGACCATGAGCTTTGTGGAACGTCAAACTCATGGATATTCTGCATTGGGTCTTTCACAGGGAAATTGTGAGTTATTTTGAACTCCATTCAGGTCTCCAGGATTCATCGGGGTTGAACCTGCATTTAATAAGGGGAAACACAATGGTTCAAAAGGGCTTGTGTGACTTCAAGTAATGACGAGGGACGTTAGTAAAGTACTGATGAATGGCAAGGCGACTTTCCTCGATCTACAGTACTTTCCGCATGTTTGCAGCGTTGCGGCGGTAGGGTGGGGAAGGCATATTTATCAGCATGGGCAGCCAGGGTGTTGGGGTCCACTTGAGGGTTCCAATGATACACCACATTGTAGTGTTGAGTTGGACATCAACAAGTCGAGTGTGGCAACTTCTGGTCCATTGGTGCATAGTACTCGGCTACAGAGTACACAAGGACCATCAATGATGTCCGTAGCACTGGTGCTGATACTCCCCAGCTTGTGCTTGCCAGTTTCTGGACCAGATTGACCCTTGTTTTGGTCTTAGTGGCTACCTTTTTCAGGAGGTCGTAGAATGTTAGCGTAGGATCCAGCTTCATTCGGATAGATCGGAGTGGGGTCGTGTCGCAGTGTTGCCGCAGAATGTCACTTTCAGAGTGTTCACTGGTCTTGGATTTCTGGAATCTAGCCACAATGTTTGTTGCAAGGGCCAAAATGTAGTCATAGTAGCTGCATCCAGGACGGAATCCCGCTTGTTCTGCATAGATTAGACTCGACAAGGGAGGTGATTCTCAGGAGGATGATGTGTTCCAGGAGTTTATAGGTCATGCACAGGAGTGATATTGACCTATAGCTTCCCAGGTCGACCATTGCCTTCCACCATGCTTTTGGGATCCATCCCGTTTTCATGGTTTTGCTGTACAGTTTTGCCAGCCATTGGAGTCCCCTAGGGCCTAAGTGATGGAGGAATTTTGGGGAGATACCATCTAGCCTAGCAGCCTAGCAGGGCCTTTCCAAACTGCGGGCTGTCCAACTGGCTGTACTGTCGGAACAGGTCCTGGGTCTCTTTTATCCAGCAGGGGTAGTCTTTCTGGAAGCCTTGGGGGATGCTCTTCTTTGTGGCTGCGGTAAGGAGGCCAATAAAAGGGTAATAGCGTCCCGGTGTCACGGGAATCACTCACAACTCTCTCTACAGCCTCCTTATATTGGTCCCAGTCAGCTTTGACCAAGTTCCACCTTGATAATCGTTTCGACACAATCACAGGAATGTTGATGCCAGTGTGGGTGATGATGGCCCTATGATGACTTTTGGGGAAGCGTGGAAATATCTTGTGGGATGTGTGAAGTGTGCTCCCACGTTGATCTTTGGAAACGATGTTGCTATGCAATGTAATACTAAATAATGTAACGCTTTGTCATCAACATCAGCCATGGTCAGTATAATTCTGGATGAAGTCATCCGCAAGACATCAGAATCCCTCATAATTCTGTAATGTAACAGTCCATCGAGTTCCTGCAGATTGACTGATTTCATAGCTCCATCTCCCAGGTGCATACACTCCCATGCACGCTCCCTCCTATTGATGACACTCAACAACTAGCCATAATCGATTCTAATAACGTCTTGTCTCCCAGCCTGCACTTAGACCGTAGATCATAGCATTTGGTACGCAATGAAAATTTCGTATCCTGTTTTGACATATTGGAATGTTGTTTTCATTACTTAATGATCATCTAGGTCTACATTCAAAAGCTGCCTTATATAATGCTCTAACGTGTTCCGGTTGTATTTCAAATTGTTTAAGTTATATATTGGAAGTTTAGGGACAGACACAGTTGGCATTGATAAATAAAGTTGTGTTAACCAAGAAGAAGTCGAAATGTATTTTATATTTTTCAATAAAGTATGCAATATTTTGTAGAGCAATGCTATGTATTATTATTTAATGTATATTTGTCTTCGAATTTAGATTAAATTATCCTTAACATGGCTTAAAACAAATAAATATTTTGTGATTGTTTACAAATGTCTTCTAATAAAATACCTAGATTATATTTGTGGTGATTGCTTTTGCTTATGAAAATGCGTTTCTTTTGTGGTGCTAACCCAAATGATTATCTGAATATAAACAATGCATATACTTACAGGTTATCTTCGTGACAATGACTGACGGTTGGGAGTTAATGCCACTATATACTGTTACAGAAGCGTTATAACTTCTACCAGGGACCAGATCAGTAAATGCTTGTGTTGTAACGTAGGAAGGCAAAATGAAGCTCTTCACTGCTGTTGCATTGTAGGTTTCATTTAAGTAGACAACGTAATAGTCAACGTCTGAAGTCGGAGCCACCCATGAGACTGTCATGGCTGTAGGACTGTTGACGATGACGGTAACATTGACTTGTGGAGGAACTGCAATGTCAAATAAACATGGTTAGGACAGACGAACTGCAAAGACTACGTACGTCATTATCTTAAGCCACTAAAGTGGCATGTAACACATTAGATACAACGATCACCATATATTTTGTATATGTCCTCCTTTTTTTTGGTCCAACCATGTATTGATGAGAAAGGTACGTGTTTTTTGTTGCAACAAAATAAGAACCCAGTATTTAGCATACACCCCAATAAGGGGAGGGGGGGTTCCAAAAATTATGTGGACTGAGGCCCTCAATACTGCTGGATAGATAGATGGGGAGGAGATTGGGCTATTTGACCAACGTACGTACGGACTACGGGAGGGAGCATCAGTTATTATTAGATAGTGAGGGGAGAATAACGGGTCCGTGACGAAAGTAGGGGAAGCCTCCACATGACAAGTGGACTTGTCCTCCTCAGCTGTCCTGGATGGGGGAAGGAGGGCCATACCCCAAGGGCCCGCCTCCTCCCCCCGACCTCAGTGCATGAAAACCCCACAACAAGCTCCACGGGTGTGGCATCGTCTGACTCCAAACTCTCACTCTTTACCCATGTTTGTGGCTAAATGTTCTGATCACGCGAGGGCTAAAAGATTACCGTGACTGAGTTTCCATGAAGAAGGCCCATGATCCCTGCAGTTTGCTCGTGGCCTAACCAGCCATAATGTCAAGGGTTTACAGTAATACGTACTAACATTTGGAAACACCGTTAAGTTTCAGGCCCCACAGGGCTGTTTCCAACGAGGTGCTGCGCTTTATACTGCAGACACGGATGTCGGGTGAGGAGACTCGAGCTCATCACTGCAGCATGTGTGTTGAAAATGTTTCTCACCATATGTAGCCAATGATGCTAAATCGGTTGGCGACGTTGGTCACGTGAATGTGACCAACCTGTGAATCGTGCATGTGTCTATTTTAAATGCAGAAACAACAGCAGCATCGCATGGTGTAATGCTTTAAATACCAATTTAAGTAATATAATGTGTAAGATACACAATGCACCTACAGATAGTAATTTAGTAACACACAGATTAATATCAATATTAATATTGTCTGAACAGTTGTCCACATTGGTACTTACGAGTTCTGTCCATGACATCTGACCAATATGAGATGGACCCATTGTAAGCCTCCACAGACACGGAGTAGTACCTTCCAGGAACCAGTCCAGTAAATGTTGTATCGTTTGAGTAAATCTGGAATGTTGTAACCAAGTTTCCACTCGCAGTCTCTCTCAAGTAGGCCCAGTAGAAGAAGTCTGGGAGATAAGTCGTTCTTGAGACTGTCATGGTCGTGGTAGTCTTGCTAGTGATATTTAAAATTATGTAACTTGACACTGGAACTGCAAAAAGCATGGGAGACACTTTGTCAATAAAGTATTTCACTTAATTCACGAACAAACAATTCAAATGATTGATAAAAAAATACCAATTGAAAATATTACTAAATATTACGTATGTGGTGACCATACTTTCATGATCTATTGATTTTAAAATGAATGGTATTGTAGTGACTGTGAATGTCACTGTGTGGTGTCGGGCCTGCGATGCCATGGAGGATAATATGTTGTCATTATGTGCAGCCCGGTTACTGGGCGTAGTACTAGCCCTAGCGGGGCTTGGGTGAGCGCTGGTTAGCGCAGAGGCACCATGTACAGTGTGCGTTGCAGGCTCCCAGTGAGGGAGTGAGAGAAAGTGTCAGCCAACCAGGGTTACGTTGGGGCATGATACGCTGGTTGACCTGCAGACACATGACCGGATGATATTGGAGGTGGCCACCAGTGGACAGGGGCCGCTGGGTGGTCACGTGGTATAGAAGAGCTCTTGGGAGCCTTCGGGAAAGGGCCAGAGAGATCGAGAAGGTGGACGGGGCGAGAGGCGGAGCCATTCCCAGCCCGAGCCGATATAACGGGGGCCTCGTGTGGGGCATGGGGTTCTTGACTGTTGGTGAGTGAAGATCCAAGTCGGGTTGAAGAAGCCTCTAGCCACGCGGTCCAGGACCCAGCTCGTCATCCGGACCGGGATAGCGGGACCGTGTCTAGTTCTGCCATAGCGTGGTTAGATGGGCATTCAACACCTGAATGTAGGTTACGTCATCTTGTGTTGAGTTGATGTAATAAATAGGGTTTCTCTTAAGACAATGTCTGCAACTGAGTTGGACTCACTACATTATTACTAAATTAACGTTTCCTGTTGATTCTCCTCACATTACATGTGTAGAGACAGTGCATGTGTGGAGACAGTGCGTGTGGGGAAACAGTGTGGCTGCAGGGACAGTGCGTGGCCAAGTGGTCACGAGCGATAATTACAGGAGGGAACCATCGGGGAAGATCGGGATTGGCCGAGACAATTCGAGAAAGGTGGGGCATGGCCGGGGGCGGAGCGAGGCCACGCCAGGGAAGTATAAGGTGGTGGGGCGAGGGTGATTGTTTACAAATGTCTTCTAATAAAATACCTAGATTCTATTTGTGGTGATTGCTTTTGCTTGTAAAAATGCGTTTCTTCTGTGATGCTCACCCAAGTGATTATCTGAATATAAACAATGCATATACTTACAGGTTGTCTTCGTGACAATGACTGATGGTTGGGAGTTGATGCCATTATATACTGTTACAGAAGCGTTATAATTTCTACCAGGGACCAGATTAGTAAATGTTTGTGATGTAACGGTGGAAGGCAAAATGAAGCTCTTCACTGCCGTTGCATTGTAGGTTTCATTTAAGTAGACCATGTAATAGTCAATGTCTGAAGTCGGAGCCACCCATGAGACTGTCATGGCTGTAGGACTGTTGACGATGACGGTGACATTGACTTGTGGAGGAACTGCAATGTCAATTAAACATGGTTAGGACAGACGAACTGCAAAGACTACGTACGTCATTAACTTAAACCACTAAAGTGGCATGTAACACATTAGATACAACGATCACTATATATTTTGTATATGTCCTCTTTTTGTTGGTCCAACTATGTATTGATGAGAAAGGTACGTGTTTTTGTTGCAACAAAATAAGAACCCATTATTTAGCATAAACCCCAACAAGGGGAGGGGGGGTTCCAAAAAATATGTGGGCTTAGGCCCTCAATACTGCTGGGTCCATAGATGAGGAGGAGATTGGGCTATTTGACCAACGTACGTACGGACTACGGGAGGGAGCATGATATATTATTAGATAGTGAGGGGAGAATAACGGGTCCGTGACGAAAGTATGGGAAGCCTCCACATGACAAGTGGACTTGTCCTCTTCAGCTGTCCTGGATGGGGGAAGGAGGGCCATACCCCAAGGGCCCGCCTCCTCCCCCCGACCTCAGTGCATTCAAACCCCTCAACAAGCTCCACGGGTGTGGCTTCGTCTGACTCCAAACTCTCACTCTTTACCCATGTTTGTGGCTAAATGTTCTGATCACGCGAGGGCTAAAAGATTACCGTGATTGAGTTTCCATGAAGAAGGCCCATGATCCCTGCAGTTTGCTCGTGGCCTAACCAGCCATAATGTCAAGGGTTTACAGTAATACGTACTAACACTTTGAAACACCGTTAAGTTTCAGGCCCCGCAGGGCTGTTTCAAACGAGGTTCTGGGCTTTATACTGCAGACATTGTTAAGGAGGTCCGTTTTATCCGTGAAAGGACTCGGGACTTTTGTCGCTAATAACAGATGTTGGGTGAGGAGACTCGAGCTCATCACTGTAGCATGTGTGTTGAAAATGTTTCGCACCATATGTAGCCAATGATGCTAAATCGGTTGGCGACGTTGGTCACGTGAATGTGACCAACCTGTGAATCGTGCATGTGTCTATTTGAAATGCAGAAACAACAGCAGCATCGCATGGTGTAACGCTTTAAATACCAATTTAAGTAATACAATGTGTAAGATACACAATGCACCTACATATAGTAATATAGTAACACAGATTAATATCGATATTAATAGTCTGAACAGTTGTCCACATTGGTACTTACGAGTTCTGTCCATGACCACATCTGACCAATATGAGACAGACCCATTGTAAGCCTCCACAGACACGGAGTAGTACCTTCCAGGAACCAGTCCAGTAAATGTTGTCATGATGGTTTTTTTAACTGTCATTCTTAGTTATATTTTGGAGGTTTAGGGACATAGATATAGTTGGCATTGGTAAATAAAGTTGTGTTAACCAAGAAGAAGTCGACATGTATATTACATTTTTCAATGAAGTATACGAAACTTTGTAGATCAATGCAATGCATTATAATATAATGACCATTTATCTTCGAATTTAGAATTCAATTATTTTAACCTGGCTCAAAACAAATAACATTTTTTTTTAAAACGACAGTGACTGCTTACAAATGTCTCCTAATAAAATACCTAGATTATATTTATCGAGAATGCTTTCGCTTGTGAAAATGCGTTTCGTCTGTGGTGCTCACCCAAATGATTTTCTGAATATAAACAATGCATATACTTACAGGTGATATTCATGACAATGTATGACGATTGGGAGTTGATGCCACTGTATACTGTTACAGAAGCGTTATAACGTCTTCCAGGGACCAGATCAGTAAATGCTTGTGTTGTAATGGTGGAGGACAAAATGACGCTCTTCACTGCTGTTGCGTTGTACGTTTCACTTAAGTAGACAACGTAGTAGTCAACGTCTGAAATAGGAGCCACCCATGAGACCGTCAGAGCTGTAGGGCTGCTGACACTGATGGTGACATTGACTTTTGGAGGCACTGCAACAGCAAATAACAACGTTTCACACAGACTCGGTTAAAGGGCTGCGTGTATATCGTTAACTAAAGTTTCTAAAGTAACTTGCAACACGTCAGATACATTCTAGATTTGAAGTTTTCGTGACTGCAAGGATTCATATTCTTTGGTTCTTTCGGTAAAGTCACGTAGGTGAAGATAAAATAAAAAATAAAAGAACGAAACTTCATGTCTCTGATCGTATCCGCGAGCATAAGTCAGATCTGAAACACGGCAGAACTAATTCCTTCGCCGTTGCTGATCATTGCTTTAACGCTGTGGGCTCTCATGATTTTGTTTTCTCCGAGACCAATGTACTCTGCAAGCCGTCTGGCTACCATCAAAGATTTGTTCATGAAGCCATCCAGATATATAAACATAGACATAACTTCAACCGAGAGAATGGATACAAATTGAGCAATCATTGGAAAGACGTCATTAACCAAGTAAAATGTAACTGTTCATAGTTGTTCCATCTTATTTACCGGATACTAGTCATTTTTTCCGAGTTAATTGCATCCTCAGCGCTTAGCAGTGCGGTTATTTGGTTTGGTTTGTTTTGAGCGCCATCATCTGTTTTTGCCGCAACCGTGTTGGTGCTTTGCTCTTCCTCTCCCCCCGCGCACCTCCAGGCTCCGTATCCACTTACTTCTAGCCCCGCCCACTTCCCCCCTCCCCTGCCCAGTCTCACGTCCCAGTCCCTAGCGCACACGCAATGCTCCCCCTCACCTTATTCCCACCCCCATCGCCCTCTCTGACTCTGGGGTAATACCAATCGCATTTACACTGACCTCTGCTGCTTTAACTTCTTCTAATGCGAAACGAATTCTTTTCAAAACTAGCTTAGCTCTTATCTCAGAAAAAATCAGACTTATACGCACAGAACTAGATCAGTTAGACAAGACACTCTACAAATCACACTTATCATTGACGGCAATAATGTCCACATCGGATTGGGAACATGTAGACAATATGACTGCCTCTTCAGCTGCTACTATGTCGACCAAATGTAAGGAAAACCTGATTTCCAAATTTAACCTCCTCTTCAACAAAAGACCGGACCCACACACCAAAAAGTTAGACGTTAATAAAGTCGTAATTAATCGCAGTAACAGTTCTATTTCTGATGGTCTGAAATCCGTTTTAGCTAAAGGTCTAAACTTTGCAGTCACACCTAAACACATACCAGTTAATGATATAATTGCCCAAGTAGACGTTGCTCTCAGGGGCCTGGGTCACATCGCTGCAGACGTAGCAAGATCTGAAATCGCTGCAACCCTCAAAAACGCTAAGATGCCAGCTAGCAACCTCAGCAAAGATGAGCGTTTTGAATTATATAAATTAAAAAAGAGGAATGATATTGTAATTCTCTCAGCTGACAAAGGCAATGCTACTGTCATCATGGATAAAATAGAATACAACAACAAAATTAAAGAATTACTCGACGATGGTAGTTATACAAAAATAAAAAGAGATCCCACCAACAGCCTCGTCACACAAACCAACAAAATAATTTCTGATTCAACCGCATTAATTGATCAATCTAAACAGTTTTCGTTGAAACCTTCTGCTGCCAGGCCACCAAGATTATACGGCTTACCAAAAATACATAAAGTTGATACACCTCTTCGTCCCATAGTCTCTACTATCAGCTCCCCCACCTACAAACTAGCTCGTTTTTTGTCTGAAATCCTGCGTCCTTTCACTGGAAAGA